CTGTCCCCCTACCAGTCAAGATTGGTGGGGACATGTCCACACCAGTCCTTAAGGAAGTTACGCCTCTGCTGCATCCCCTAACATCAGCTGCTGCTAAAGCTGGAGCTGCTACCTGACTGATTTCCTGTTGTCTACATCAGTCTGTTCTAGTGTTTGAACAACAAGTCTTTCTGACTCTGAGAAGACAATAAAAGACAAGTAGGCTGTCCCTAGCTGGACACAGCCAGACAGACATGGATGCAGGATCATTCTCTGCTGGACGTGTCCTAAGTCCAAACTGGACCTTTGTGATTGACCTTTAAATGTTTATCCTAAATGGGAACAATGTCAGAGTGCGCAGAAAGTTCACTCCTTAATATTAAAGTGACAGAGGCTGGCCTTAGATGCAGCTTCCCATTGGTGCATGCACAGATGGAAGAACTGGTTTTGTCTTTCTCCAGTCCTCCCATTCAGGAATCTGCATGATTTTACTGGTTGTAGAACTTCAGAGAGCCTGAAGGGAGCAGCAGTCAGAAGGGAGCTCCTCATTAACATTTCAGCTTGATCCTTCTATTATACAGCTAACTTGAAGGACTCCAGCTTACAGTTGGTTTTTTTCTGACAGTTTGTTCTGGTCAGAGAGCAGACGGAGTGTTCTCCACCGGGACCTGAATAAAACATGGAGTCACAGATCCGAGTGGCAGCTCCAAGTCTCTCTGCCGCCTCACAGCCAGAAAGTTCAAACCTCCGTCTGCGTCAGATTTCTGTGAGGATAATAAGGACCCTGTTAGCTGCCTGCAAACACAGGCTTGCTGGCACACCTTGATGGCTTCATACCACTGGACTTCCTGCAGCTGCTTCCTTTGAACTCAGCTGCTCATCAGATTGGTTTACTTCTATTTTTAATGTAATAAATACACGTTCTGCCTTTCTCCATATTTCATCAGGCTTCCTCACCAACAACAGGAACAGCAGGACACACTTTTGTGATCCAGCAGTGTTAAAATAATTTAAAAAAGACAAGGAATCAATTGAATTACGAAACAAATCCAGGTTTGATCAGAAATCACCAATTACTGGTGAAGTTTTACATAAAGAAAACTTTTTTACTTGAAAATTCAGTCTGTGTTTAATCCTCACGGATCTGTATTCTTTCTCAGCTCCATCCATGTGGCTGTGGAGCATTTCCCACCTGTTCTCATTTCCAGTATTTTAAGCACTGCTTGACTGTCTTGACTCATATCTGGTCACCTGGTCTATCGGAACATCAGGGTACTGGTCCATGAGGTTCCAGTTATACTGATTTTAACCTTCATGTAAAAGATTAAACTTGGAATTTGTTGTTTTTGCCTCAAAGTGTTATACTTTAAGGAAATATGACTGTTTGTGTTTAAGGGTTTTTTGACATAAAGAAGCAAGAAAAACTTAAACTCATCCAGGTTTCTAGAAGAACGGAGTATCATCAGCATACAGCAGATTTACAGGGTCAATCAGTAACAGGTTGATGTTTTTTGTACAACTGCATAACCCCTACATGAATCTGTTCATAAAATTACACAAAACAGCAAAAATGTGGAGACACCAACAAATAACGGACTTGACTGCAGTAGTCAATCTTGGCAAACTAAGCAGTGTCCTAGTTTGCTTGTGGTGTTTCCAGCAGAGCAGTAGAGCATGCTTCAAGCAACAGTTAAACCTCCCTGTTTTTTATAAGTTTCATTTAGTTGTTTAGTGCTCTGTACAAAATATTAATGTCTCAATATGTACATATATGCTGTCTGATGTTTTCAAGAATTTACTGTAAGATGATTTCCTGTAATTTAATAAAAGTACAGGAAAATAAAATCAAACCAGAGAGAAAATATGGATACTGAAGTGTGGGATTAATAAAAAAAAGCATGTTTATAATTATGCTATAATGCTTTAAGATTGTTATTTTAAAATAGGTAATAGGGAGATTTAATCTCGCAGATTAGCTTCAGCAGAATGCATATTCTAATCTATTGAATTTTTCAGGGGGAAAAAAATATATATATATGAAGATGTTTGAAGATAATAGTAGCTGTGAACTAGGTTAGTAATTAAACTGAATTGATATGATTTGAATAGAAGAGTTTAGGCTTTTAGAACCCCATAATTATCTTTGGTGTGTGAAGGAGACTTTTCAGACTGTTCTTACTGTCCTGCTTCTTTGAAAATACATCTGATCTCCTCTATTTACAGCTGAGGGTCAATCTATAACTAAGCTCCAAATGCATTGTGGGTCATGTAGGAGTACATGGATCATGGCTTTAAGATGATTAATATGTTTCTAAGCAGTCCCTTTTCCTCCGCTTTCTCAGACAATATTGTTTCAGTATGTTTTACCCTCCCTGTAGTTACAGGTTGTTGCTACTGTGACAGACTGCCGCCTGTGGACGTTTACAGCCATTCTGCAATCCTGATAACGTCCTGCTCTGTGTGCATCCATGGCTGCAGTCCTGATAACATTATACAGATGTGTCTGGGGGGGCATATGGATGAAGGAGAGATATGTACCGGTCATTGAGAGCAGAAGGAGGCTGAGGGACTTCCACTGAGAAGATAACATTCAGCTTGCTGTCGCGTTGCCTCAGGCAAGGAAATATGGAGGGCTGGAGATGAGAGCATGTCCTCAGGAGGATTTCTGCAGACAATCTCATCAGTTCATCCTCTGACCTGCAGATTCGTGGCAGCAGATCCCTGAGGTAGTATGTGCTGATACCTGAGTTCAGAACTGTTTGCTCTGACTTAGATGCCGCTCAGGACACCATGGGACAAACTGGACAGGCTTGCATGGACCAGTGTGATTGACGTCAGACTGACATCGTTAGACTAACATCATCTGACATCATTTAATTACCTCTGCAGACAGGTGGTTTAGAACAGTCCAGGATGAGAGAACACCGGTGAGGACATGCAGGTTCTGAAACCCCTGCCCATGTCCATGTCAGGGAGGGAGCCTAGCACTACTGTGACCTGGATCCAGGTTCTTTATATGGAGCCAGTCAGTCCTGGGGGGAACACACAGAAAGCATCTTTAGCTCCTAAAAAACTCTGGTTTCAAACACATGGGTAAAGAAACCCTGCTAAGAATCTCAGGTTTCCTCATCAGAGATACTCGTCCTGAACATTCAGTTCAGTGCGTGTGAATTAATCGGATCTATTGGAGTGTTGCAGCTCTCCCAACCTTTTTAAGTTCCAGCATGGCATCATGATAGAAGCTACTGATGCATTAAGTCCAGTTACGAGTCAGCTTTTAGCAGGCTGGGACTGGTAATCTGTGATACTGGGCATTTGCCCGTTGGGCCGGTCCTAATTTCAGCGTGCGAGGGCCGGCTCTCCTTAAATCATACCGGCCCCAACACTAACTCTCCAGCACCTAACTGTGACAGTAAATAACTCAAGGAGCTCAAGAAGTAATACAATGTTAACTATCTAAATGATGCATTCAGTATATATAGCCGTTCCTTGTCATGCATATCCTTGTGACGGTTGGCATATTATGTAATTTTCTATTTCTTCAAACTGTAAAATCCTTGCAACACATTAAATTATAATAAAACTAAAATGCTTTCTTTAAACCAAACTACGATGTTCCTGTTATATTTGCCGAATTTATGTTCGAATATTTTGCAAAAATATGTTGCGGTGCGTGATGGGGTTTTGCATCTAAAGGCTAACATTTCCCGTATTACATGCATTGTTGCCATGTTGTGTTATTTCCCAATCTGGCAGTTTAGGATGGCTTTCTATGGGTAAAAAATGTTATTCTTTAGATTTATGTCCTAAGAGATCAATAGACGTTGGTTGAAATCGGGCGAGATTTCCTATATCCAGGCGGTTTATGAACAGTTTTTGGGCTGGAAAATGTGAGTCAGCGACGGGGCTGTATGTGTGATTGGGTGTCTGGCTGGCTTTGTACAAGTGTGGATGTCATGCAGTAGCAGTCACTGTCGCGGTATTGTGTTTCACATTTGAGACGCATGCTGTT